CATCAGATTAAATTAAATCTGAATTTGAATCTAATTCAGATCTGATGAATTGAATTAAAACAATTTGATCTGTTAGATCTGAATCAGATTTTTTGCGAAATATTACAAATGAGAATATAGTTCTTTAGAAGGTATTATGCAGTATATTCTCGCTGTTTACATTTATACCATTCAACATTATTTCATATATAACTTAAGTTCATATAGGATTAATTGCAGTCCCTTGCTAGATGTCTGCTGCATTCACAATTATAATAATTTCTAAAGAGAATATTCCTATTATCATTTGATTTATTACTTTGTTAATTATTTGTTAAATTTCTATTTTGCCAGTTATTATTAATGGTGGATTGATTGTTATTACTATTATTATTATTATTATATCTGCTATTATTATTCCTAAGTATTATATTAATTACAGTCAACAATTGTTTAAATTCTTTAAATAATTTTTCATTATTTTTCTTAATCAATTGTTATATATCAATTGGATTTTTTTCAATAACTATATTCTAACGTTTGATAAATTGATATATAAAGAAATAATATTTACTTTATCAATCCTTATTATTATTCTAATAATGAATATCTTTTTCATATTTAGCTTTATTATATCAAATGAATACAGATCCTTTAAACAAAAATGATACAAGAGTTAAGCATTATTGGTCAAAAATACTATTAGCTTCACAAGTATTATTATATCTATTAAGCTAATTCTATAGATCTTAATCTTTACCTTTAAAAGAAAGAAGATTCACAAATTTGCCTTCATATTATTTATTAAATCTAACAGATGTGAAAACAGGTTTAAGTCCTTTTATCATTCAGAAAAGGTCTCGTTCGCTTTACTATTTGCATTATGTTCATTAAATAAGTTATCTGCTGATTCATTATCATCAGAACTATTATACTTAGATTTGGAGCTAAAAGAAAGAAGAACTATTATAATATGAAGAAAAATAACAGTTTCTCCTTTTTTTGTCTGACTTTTTGGATTCTATCTTTTTATTTTCTTGTTGATTTTAAAACTAATTTGACTCAGATTTAAATGAGTGTGATCTACTTGAATTCTTTTAGCTAAATTTTGATCCTTTATTTTCTAATTCAAAAGGAGTTAGATCTGATTGTTCTATTCAATATTTGTTAGATTGTCTAATATTAAAAGGAGATTGGTTAGTTTGTTATGTTTCAAAAGGTGATTGGTTAAGTTGATCAGTTTGATTTCTGAAATTTCTATAGAAGCTAAAAGTAGAGTCTTTAAAACTCACGTTTAATCCTCTACTTCTATTAGAAGTAGCATTCATTATAAGAGCATCATCAGATTGATAGTCTTTATCATTATTATAAGTAAAATAGTCATCATCCTTTTCTTTTAGTAGTTCTTGAGGGATTTTAATTTAAAAGTTGATGATAAAAAAACAATTTTAGTAGCTGACTTTCAATTTATCTATAGTTATTTTGCTAAGAATAACTGATCAAGATGAAAAAGATGTGCTTGATATAGAAGTATTAAAGTATTCAGAAATAGTACTTCTGGAATTCTTGTTGAATGCTGAGGTTTGATAATATATTTGTACTGTTAAATTGATAGCTTGATCAGCTTATTGTAAACAAAAGAATATAATACTCATAGTATTTGTAATTCTGAAGTTGATGAATTATTAGCTAAATTGAACTCAGTTATAATCTTGCTAGTATATTGTCAAGCTTTAAGTATAAAACAAGCTGAGCTAACTTAAAAAAATATGAAAGGCAAGAGTTTGCTCTTATGAAATGAATGGGAAATAACAAATAATATATAATATGTCATTTACAAAGGTAATCCTAAGTTAGTTATTTCATACTTTTATCAAATGTTATAAATAATGAATTTATTGAATTCTAAATAGGTCTTCAAATGTATTTATATAATACTCTTATAGGATATTATATAAATTAGGAAAAGAGGATCCTGTTATCATCACTAAATGTTAATATGTGATTTAGTAAATCATTACAATTAGATAAAATGTTTGTGTAGTAACTCTTTTAGCTTATGTAATAACTTTACTAAGTTTTACTAAAACTGATATAGTTTGTATAAAATTCACAAAGATTCATGAAAGCAGTTAATATATTACTAAAACTCACGAAGGTTATTTCACTAAGATTTATAGTTTGTTATAAGAGTTCACACAATACAAAGGTTTATAGTTATTATTAAGATTCATATAGATTACAGAAATTTATAATTTATGAAAATTGATGTATTACACAGACTCACAAAGATTTTTAAAAAATGAAATAGAAAGAGTTTATTGATAAAAAAATATGAGAAAGAAAAGAAATAAAAAATAAAAAAAATAGGAAAAGGTAAATTCACCAAAATTTATTTACATAACTAGTAAAAGGGTTCAAAGAATTGTTAATTTGATATAACCTTTCGAATTCTACCTTTTACTACAAATTATAAGCTACTGTATTTATATCTTTTTTGAAATACATATAATAAAAAATTAACTATATTAAATGAATAAACTATATTAAATATATTATATATGTTAAATAAATTAAATATATTAAATATATTAAACATGTTAAATATGTAAACTATGTTAACTATGTTAACAATGTTAACATTACACATGTAGATCAATTTGTAGATCATTCAGTAGATCAATTTTGTAGATCAATTATATGTAGATCACTTTTGTAGATTCATTTATAATATGTATTTATATATTAATAAAACAATTGGTTATTATAGATTTTTACAATTACAAGTGATAATGCTAAAAATATTAATACTTTTATGAAAGAATTGAAAAATATTTATAAAAAAAAAATATTACTTTTAATGCTATCAATGTTTATTATCGTTGTATTGCTTATATTATGAATATATCTATATAAGAAATTTTAAATAAAATTAAAGCAGGATATACAACTGAAAATAATGTATTAAATAATATTAATATAGATATATATGCTAGAGAAATAATTCTAAAGGTAAATTTATTATTTTTATAAATTCTTATTTGATTTAATTATCATTATGTTAATTAAATTATATAACTTTGAAAACTTATAGTTAAAATACAATCATCATCACAATATCAAGATTATTTATATATCATATTAAAGCAGCTGATCTTAAAAATCTTAATTTTTATTTTAGATATAAAAACAAGATGGAATTCAATTTAAAATATGCTTAATAAAGCAATTGAAATATAAGAGATTAATATAATATTAAAATTATAAATTAATTATTTTTATTTTTTATTTTAATTTTATTTTTATATTATTGTTTAGGCAATTGATATATCTACAAATTCTGATAAAAAACTTTGAATTTTTAAACTTACTAATAATGAATGAAATAAAATTAAGGAAATTATATTTGTGTTAAAGGTAAAAACAAATGTATTAATTTTAATATTTATTTTTCTTTATAATTAATTTTAACTTATTATAATATTTAGATATTTATATTAAGCAAGTTTCATTCTTGAAATATTTTATGCTTTCTAATAATATACCAATATATAATTATTTGATAGATGAACTTGAAGTATATTATAAAAAGGCTGATAGTTCTAATAATATAATATTTGCTGTTTATAAAAATTAGAAAAATAAAAAGTAATATTAAATTATATTTTTTTAATAAAGCAATTTTTTATTAAAATATTTAATTAATTAAAATTTATAGTACTTGTTCCTTGATTAAAACTTGGCTATTATGAAGATAAAAAATGGAAACAAAGTTTATTCATTATGCTAAAGAAACTATTATTTATAATAACAATTATGCCTTACTGCTACTAATTTACAAGTTAAAAATGTTAATGATGAGAGTGATATAAATTTAAATCATATTTTTGGTAAAAAACAAAATTTTAAACAAAATGAAGTGGAACTATATTTAAATGCTCCTAAAACAGCACGAAATCAAGATATACTTCTTTGGTGGAAGGTATGTATTTATTGATAAATTGTATAACGATAATAATAATAATTTAATTTATTAATTCGATTATTTAATTTATATAGTTACACGAAATGGAATATCCCATATTTAGCCATAATGGCTAGAGCGATTACAGGTAAAGTTAAAATACATATTTATTAATTATTTTAAGATTCCAGTAGAACGAGTTTTTTTCTGATAGTGCGACTTTAATAGCAACCAAAAGATGTGATCTTACAGCTAATTTCATAATTCGTGGACCACTAATAAATTGCGACTGAATGCGACTGAAAATATTTTATAATAAAATTACTATAAAATATTGCGACTGAATGCGACTGAAAAATTATTAATGGTTCATAAATTATGAAATTAGCTGTAAAGCCAACACAATTTGCGCCTGTATGTGTTTGAAATCCTGGTGGCAAGAATATATATAAAAAATTCTAAATTAGAAAAATTAGAATTAATGTATAAAAGAACTTTAAATATAATAAACTTTGAAATTTACATTATCTGTATAAATAAAATTTTTAATTACTTTCAATATTATTATCCTTAAAATTCGAGTCGAATCCGAGTTAAACAATAATTGGATCGGGTCGAACAATAATCGGGTCGAGTCGAATTCGGTCCTGTAAATATTAACGGGTTCGATTTCGAGTTTGCTTCAAACCGATCCTTACGGAGCACTAGTGTGATATGTATAGGCGAATATATATTATTTTTGACAAGTAATTAAGTTTGAATTTGACCCTAAAACCTACCAATTTCTTTTTATTCGGTTATTTGGCGCTTATGTAAGGGATTATTTATTTCGAAAATCTATTGTTGAAAAAAGCTGAGAATCTCGTAGTTAGCTATAGTGATAGAAATAAATTATAGATTTTTATTTCGCTTGCAATCTATATCACTTAACTGGCCTGTTTTTCTTAATAATAATAAAGTTTCGGGCTTTTACATTTTAAACCATTTGTGGTGTTCGAAAATATAAATTTTTCTTGATAAAAAGTGTAAGCTTTAGCTGATAAGAGGCTGATGACCATCAAGAAATGACTTGAATATCTACTGACTCATAACTTCGAAAAGAAGTATAGCATCTCCAAGGTAAATATACCAAGGGAAGACCTCGCCGCCAATTGCCTGGAGCAGACACGAGGAACTTCAGCAAAGTCAGCGGATCAACAGCTGCCGCCAATTGCCTGGAGCAGACACAGACAGTTGTTAGTCATCAAGCAACTCAATACTTCACCGCCAATTGCCTGGAGCAGACATGAAGCAAGGCATTTCCTTGGTAAATATACCAGGGGAAGTCCTCATCGCCGAGGAACTTCGGCATAGTTGCACCCTCGTTGTCCAGCAACAATGAATGGGAAAAAGAGCTTTCTGATGCTGATCAAGCTATTATATTTATCGATCAAACCAATCAGAAAAGACGCGTCGTGTCACAAAAACGTAGCACAATTAGGGTTGTTAACGATCCGATCCATCCGATCTCGATCCGGTCTTTATCGATCTGGGGGGTGAGATTGGACCGAGGATCATCTTCAATGACGATCTTATAGACTGATTTTAGACCGATCTTTTAGACCGGTCTTATAACCTGATCTTAATAACTGATCTTAATAGCATTACAAAAAAAAAGTATCAAAAGCCGAATTTATTGAATTTATTGATTACCCAAAATAAAATGTTTTTTTATTATTATATTAATGTTAAAAAAATTAACTATATGAGTCAAGCCGAGAAAAAAGAAAACAAAAAAAAATCTCCTAAAATAACCCCCATTCCCGAAATCACCCCAACCCCTCCGGAAAGAATAGAATAAATTTTTTATTCTTTTTCACACGTCTTTCCTAAATCATTAGAAACCCAATATTTCATACAAATAGTCGCTCTTGCTGTTT